CCTTCTACTGTAAAAAAAAGCAGCAGGCCTCCTCCCCAAGTGGCTCCCTCTGATGGTTAGTGAACAATCAAAAATATCTCTAGTGTTGTTTGTGCAGTGAAGCTCTTAGCCTCATTTGCATGATCCTAAATAATCCTCAACCTGAATTCTGGTGCAAACTGAGATTGGTGACTGGAAAAATCATCAGTGGGATGATGATGATGGTGACAATGACAATGAAATTTTAAACTAAAGCCTTCCTACGGTGTGGTATAAAGATAGATAGGTAGATGATAGATAGATGATAGAATCATAAGCATAGGCATAGATGGAGATAGTGGAATATTATGCAGCCATAAAAAAATCTGGGGCACCTGTGTGGCTTAGTCGGTTATGCATCTGCCTTCAGCTCAGGTCATGATCTCAGGGTCCTGGGATGGAGCTCCACCTCAGGCTCTCTGCTCAGTGGGGAGAGTCTGCTTCTCCCTCTCACTCTGTCTCTGTGTTTCCTCTCTCTCTCAAATAAATAAATAAAATCTTTTTAAAAAAGGATTAAATCTTGCCATTTGCAACAACATGGATATACCTAGAGGGTATTATGCTAAGTGAAATAAGTCAGACAGAGAAAGACAAATACCATATAATTTCACTCATATGTAGAATCTAAAGAACAAAACAAATAAATAAACAAAAGCAGAATCAGACCAATAAATACAGAGAACAAATTGATGGTTGTGGGGGGATGGGAAAAATGGGTGAAGGGGAGTGAGAGGTGCAGGCTTCCAGGTACGGGATGAGTAAGTCACTCCCCAAATCTCCTGTGTGTATGTTTTTTTCTATATCCACATATATATATGTGGCATTTTCCAGCACGATCTCCGTCCAAATTACTCTGTCCTATTTTGAGTACATGGGTCAGAACATGTATCTAAATTTTTTATTTAGAAAATATCATCACTGTGTAAACAGTGAGCAATATCAGGCCCCCCGACGGTATTCATTCTCTTAGACATGGGTCATCACTTGGCTTCCTGAGGAAAGTTTTCTTTTTTTTCTTTTTTTTTTTTAAGATTTTATTTATTTATTTGAGAGAAAGAGAATGAGATAGAGAGCATGAGAGGGAAGAGGGTCAGAGGGAGAAGCAGACTCCCTGCCGAGCAGGGAGCCCGATGCGGGACTCGATCCCGGGACTCCAGGATCATGACCTGAGCCGAAGGCAGTCGCTCAACCAACTGAGCCACCCAGGCGCCCCTGAGGAAAGTTTTCTAATCTTAGCTACTCAGGAAAAGAGAGTAGGCTCTCTTTAAAAAAACAAACAAACAAACAAACAAACAAAAAAATCTGAGAATGGTTAGTTTTACTGTGGTGCCCCCTAGTGCTGTAAGAGATTTGACTCACTCTCTTATTTGCCAATACATAGACCACATGAGAGAAGCGAAATTTAGAGAAGCAACAATTTTAGTAATTTGCCCTGTATTCTCTTTTGCATAGAATAAAGTGTGCTCCCTTTGCATGACTCACAAGACCCTTTGTGACCTGCCCCCGCCTAGGTTTTTGGCCTCACCCTTTGCCGCTTTCCCCTATGAACACTCAACTTCAACCACTCTGAACAAATTGCGGTTCTACCGAGTAAGCCTTCTGACCCTGTCCAAGGCCACCATCTCTCTTGTCCATTTAAAGAATTTCCACTCCTCCTTCTAATCAGCTGAAGCATTACCTGTTCCCCCAGCTTCTACCATCTCTGAGTTTCTGGGAGTTTATCTGTAAATAGACTATGTCTAATGCCTGCTCAAAAATCCAAAGATTCTGTGTTTTTATCAGTACTTACCCTGAAAACCTGAAAATACTTAATGACAAGTTCAGTTCAACACTTCAGATGCTTCTTTTTCATTCTCACAGAATTGTTTATGAAATGCAAAATCAGATGTATTGGAAATCACTTATTTGCCTGTTATTTAAAAGAACAATTTCTTAAAAATGTGTTCGATTACATGGGGGACGCATTTAAATTGAGCTAATCTCGGGGCGCCTGGGTGGCTCAGCTGTTAAGCGTCTGCCTTCGGCTTGGGTCATGATCCCAGGGTCCTGGGATCGAGCCCCACATCGGGCTCCCTGCTCAGCAGGAAGCCTGCTTCTCCCTCTCCCACTCCCCCTGCTTGTGTTCCTGCTCTTGCTATCTCTCTCTCTGTCAAATAAATAAAATCTTTAATAAAAATATATATATGTGCAAAATTTATTTCCTCCAGTCCTTTCTTAAGAAGCAGGAAATTCATAAGCCTAGACACAAAAATCTATTTACTTATATTTTGTATTTCTCCAAACCTCACACCCGTTCTACAAATATATATATAAACTACATACTAACAGGATATTGAGCTGGAAGAGATCTTTCTGATCATGTGATCCAACTGTCTTGTGTTACAATGAGTAAATCAAGGCCCAAAGAGGGAAGTTACGGGAGTAGTGGGTAAGACCTATCTTTTTTTCTAATATCTCAAAAACTAAAACTTCTGCTTTTCACATAAGTAAATACAACTTAACAGAATTGTGAGAAAACAAAGGTTACTAAATAAATTTGATTGAAGGGAAAGTCTCCTGTCAAATGAAGTTTAATAGTTATATCTGTATTTTTTTTTTTTTACAGAGCTGTACATGTAGGCAGTTATTTTATAAAGCTAAAAGTTAAACCTAGGAAATAAGGAAAAACCATGATTGTTCTCCAAATATGTTTTCCTACAATAAAAGAGATCCAGTTTAACTGGACAAATGATCAGCATTTCAGCTTAATTTCACCCCTAAGACACATCACTGGAATATTATGTTTTATAAAAGTAGAGGTTTTATTTATATCACCACCAACCCCATCCTTCGACCAAAATTCCAGTCTTATCAATAAGTTTAGGAAGACTACCAGTCTATGTCCCTTTTTCAACAGCTACACTACACCCTTCTCTCTCTTTCTCTCTCTCTCTCTCACATGCACACACTGCCACCACCACCATTTGATCAAATTCCAGGGAGAACACACATGACCCATCTACGCTATCCTTCCCCCAATAGACTACATGAGATTAAATGTAAGGACACATTGTGCTGCCCTTGGGTCCTACAACAGTACAAGAAATTATGTTAGTTATGACAGTCTAGCTAAGAAATAAGATAAAAATTAAAGGTGATGTGAAGTGAAGAATTTCAAATATCTGTGCCAAAAAAATTCTGTACCCCAAATACATGAGAGCACATTTCTTGAGCAAACAGCTCTAACATACCTCCTATGTCTTTGCTTCCATTTCTGTGCCAGGACCAGAGAAAGCTAATTCCCTCCCAGAGATCGGCTCACTGAATTCTAGCATCCTGGAAACCTGCACTTAGCTTTCCCTCCAGGCTCTGTCACAGAGTCACTGGGTGACTTGCCAAAAGGACCCCTCTCCTTCTCAGCATCTCCTGGGTATTAAGAGTCTGGGGCAGTCCCGCCACCAGCTGGCTATATATCTGTTTCACCTTTTTGTCTCTCCTGCTCAGAGCCCCAGTGCAATTGTTGAGCCTTGACTGGGGCCATCTGTCCTGTCTTTCTATCACCCCACAGTGTAAGGAAATATGTAACACTGTGGGTTGTCTGAAAAAGCACTCTCAAGGCTCCTAGACCTGGTGAATGCACTCAGCTGTTCTATTTTTGGTCATTCTCTTTGTTTTCTTCTCAGAAAAGCCTAATTCCGGTCTATGTCTTAGGCATCCTGCCATGGACACGTTACTCCTCCCCCTCCCTCCTCCCTAATCGCCTACTCTAATTTCATCCAAGGGTCTCTGCACAGAGAAGGAAATGTGTGACAAGACCAAGAGAGGACTAGCACATTGTTGTGCTCATTGGTCTGCAGACTTGACATGACACCAGCTACACTTGTGGAATTTAGGAACATGAGCCCTCTCTGCGGTACACTGATCACAACCACACTCCCACCAGCCTCTGTGCACCAAAAACCCCTACTTCCTGTAGACAAAGACAAGCCCAGGCTTTGGTTAGGACTCTGCTTATCTTATCCTGGTCTAATTTGAGGTACCCAGTCTCTGACATGGCTATCAGAATAAGTTCCCTTTGTCTCACCTTTACCAGAGAAAGACTTTTCTAACCTAAAGTGACCTGCCAAGGAAACAAGAATTATCAGACTAGCCTCACCAAGGGAACAGGGGAAGACTATACATGTATTTTCTTTTCAGTGGAATCTCCTGCAGCCAAGAACATCCTTAAAGACCTAGTAATGTTTGTAGATATAAACAAGTAATTAAGAAAAACTAATGTAGAAGGAAAAAGGGAAAGAATATCGTCATTAAGTGGGAGAAATACTTAGAAAAATGATCACCCACTACATAGTGCACTGGAAAAAAAAGTGGAAAAAGACAAAGTGATGTCCATAAGTTGTGATTGGCAGAGAAAGACTGAAAAATAATCTCTGATTAAGTTATCAGGGTAAATATTTGGCCATGTATGAATACACACTTGAACACACACCTCTCTGCCCTTACAGTCCATAGGTTAGCTATTTAAAGGACTTAATATTGATACCTTCAGCATTCTTCAAAAAGCAAATCGCCTATGGGGTTTATGAATACAGTGGGAAAGTGGAACTGGTCCCTTTCTTATTTCCTTTTTATATAAATTCCCTGATCAGATGCTTGCTAGCAGAATGGGTAAAGCAAGTATATCAGTGACTCCGAGCTTCAAAGTGAGAGCTCATAAAGGAATACCAAGATTCTTGCACTGCAAAAAAAGAAGAAGAAGAAGAATCCAGAGCAGTGCCCTTGCCCTACCTACTTCTACTCTGCCCCACCACTGCCACTACCGAAAAGAAGGAAGGAAAGGAGACACCAGAGGGTGTTTGACCACGCTTTATACAATCGCTGGGGGGCAGATGAAGGGCAATGAGCAGTTTTGGCACCAGATATTTCCAAGGGACTGGAGCTGCTGGAGCTGCCATCAGCATGAGCTGGAGGAAACAAAGTGCCCACAGGAGCATCCATCTTACCTGGGAAGCATAGAAGTTCAGGCAGATGTAGGTGAAACACAGGAGCAGTCCCAGCCCCTGAATTACAGCTGCCACCAGCAATAGCTTGTTCTTCTGGAATCTTCGCCCTGGCGTGTTTCCCACATTCTCATCCAGGGGTTGGACCCCTTCCATCTTCACAGTTTGGATGCAAGGAAGATGAAAACTGTGGCAAAGGGGAGCCTGAGGGGGACTGACCTCTTCTCCACAAAGAAGGAGATGAAGGGAAAACAAAGCTTATCAATCAGAAAATACACAGAGGTCCCAGGACCAGAGATAAGAGGCGATTGAAAGAGCAGAACGCACTCTCTCAGTTTTAACACTGCAGCTTCTGCAGGCAGGCGGGGGAACTTCTTTGTGACTAATCTGAATTTCCCCTTTACTTTCTTTCTTTTTTTTTCCTCTGGGCTAACAGGGAGTTGTTTTTGTAGCATTCCAGTTCTGATTTGAGTGACTGTGAAATGACAGTCATAAAAGTGTGCTAATTTCTTAATTTCTCATTGCACCAGTAACCAAATTGTGGGTCATTTGATAGAGATAAAAATCATCATCCGTTGATGTAGGAGTTCCTGTATCCCTTCCCTGAGGTGTCTTAAGTAAGAGAAGAGATTGGAGGGAAATGTTGGACTTAATTTCTCGTCTGCACTTTATTGAGTAACTAAGCATTGAACCGTTGTACAAATATCCGTGGATATATAAAAGCACACACAGGCCATTCTTGAAATGAAAGAGAGAAAAGAAGAAAATGGGATGGTGGTCACGTAACAATAAAGGAGTGAGATCCTCTGGTTTTAGTACATTACATTATAATAATTATTGAGCATCTCCTATTGTCAGACACTGTACTAGATAGACAGCCTTACCATCTTTTTCTCCTTTGATCTCTTGAGGCAAATTTAGTAAGCATTTACATGATTAATTTTAAGCATAGCAGAAAAGAAGCAGAAGAGTATCCTGAACTTTTCCCCTCCCTCCCACTTTTCCTTGTCCCCTTACATAATTTTTGTGTGAATGAAGAAATGAATAGATTGAAATAGATTGTTCCTTCCTTTGAGGTCAGGGGTGGGACTCAGAACTTGGAAAGTAAGAGTATTCTACCAATAGATGGACACTACTCACCCTTGAGCACTGAAATAAATGATAAAATGAAATAAATGATGAAATGATTTATAAAGTCAAGTCCAGATTTGCAAATATTTACCGGATACATGGTAAACCCAGTGCTGTACGGGAGGACATGGGGATGCTGGGGAGGGGAAGTTTAAGGCAGAATTCTGTTTCTTCTGTGGGCAAGTAGGTCTCTCTAAGCTTCCCATGAGCCATTCAATAGATATTTAAAGAAAGGAGGGAGGAAAGACTATTTTGATATCAACAATATGAGATGCTATATCAACTTAATTTTATAGAAAGTGAATATGAGGCATATTCCAAAGAGAAATAGTTTGTGGAAAATGGAAAATACTTTATTACAGCATAAATCGAAGAAGGTATGAATTAATATCCTCATTATAATCATTATGCCTTGCACTTGGAGAACACTTTGGTCTTCAGAAATTCAAGTTTTTGTCTGGAAGATAAAACTTTATCATAGTTTTATCTATGATGAAATAGTTATCAAAGGTAACACTTTATCATAGACTTCAAGCCAAAATTAAAAAGCAAATTCCATTGAAACTTATCTGTAGCTAGTTATTCCTATGAGCAAAGTATGCGTAACATACAGGGTGTGGAGAGGGGAAAAACTGACAAAAAAATCAGTGTGTAGAGCCCAATTCTTGTGTAATAGTTGATAGTCATAAATAGATGTTAAAATTGGTAACAACTTACTCATTTATTTTCAAAACCCAACTAAAAGAGTAAAGCCTAAAATACTAAAAGAAACTATAAAGACTAGCTGTAAAAAATCTATGAAAACTATTAATGCTGAAATTATAGAAACTATTTTTAAATGACTGCCAAAAGGATGGAAAAAATAAACATTTAGTGTGTGTACTTGTGCCCTGAGCCGCATCTCTTCTCATTATTGACATCGTGGTTTCTATGAAGAAAAACTACAATTACTGTTTTTTGTTATAGACAATGAGAACTGTGCAACAGAATAAGCTTCCATTTTTGTGTTGTCCCAAAAGAGCGCGGGGTCGACCATTGCAATGTGTAAGTCTACACGAGTGCGGCGCACCTCTCACCTCCCTGTCTGGATCTCCAACGCCATGTTTTGCCTACTTGTGATGTTTAGGTTAAAGTTCAAGTGATGGTATACATCGAAACATTTCTCTTTTTATTGAACACATTCTCACAGCTTCTTTACATTCTTTGTGGGAAGCAGAGGAATACACCCAGAAAAAATAAATATAAATTGGCTTGGAAGTTCCAGGCAAGCCCTTTTGACAGACTACATCAACATTTCAAAGTTGGGCTGTCCTGGCATTTGGAACAAGTAAAACCACTGTCTGAGACATCGCCAATGGCATTCTATCTCAGGCAAATGGATAGAGTCCTCCAGCTTCAAAGAGGATGTTTTCAATGAGGTCAAGTATGTTACCTGAATCTCTGTGCTGTTTTGTAAAGCTTCTCACAGAGATCACACACACAGACCCTCCAGAGCAAGCCAGCCTTGGAAGAAAGCCTCAACTTCATTCCAAGCAATTATCTTCCCATAGATCTTTGACCTCTAAACGAAAGGCCATTTCAAGATTACAGAAAAGTATGGAAAATAAAAGGCTTTGACAACTGACAGAATACCTCATGCTTAGAAAGCAGCAAAAACTTTAAAAAAAATATTTGGTGTGTGGGGGGTATTTGTTTTGTGTTGTTCTATTTTGGTTTTTTGGTTTGGTTTGGGGGGAGGGGTATGGTTGTAAAATCTGGCTTTTCATTGGTTTCTAAGTCATTTGTCCACTCAACCAGCATAAGCCGGGTGCCGGCATACTGGTGCTAGGGAAATGACATGAACAAAACACATTCTTAGTCCTCAAGGAAGTCATAGACAGGCAGGCAGGACAGTCACAGGCAGGAAACGAAGAGCAGTAATAGCTGGGCAAGGAATGAGGGAAGCGCAACATGGTGAAGCTGCTTGTGCATTGTCCGTTTGGGAACTGTGACTAGAGAGGAGGACTGTGAAGGAGAGTGGCCGGGGAAGAGGCTTGAGAAGCTGTCACAAATGGACTTTTGTTCTAAGGACTTTGAACTTTATCCTGAAGGTCTTGGGGAAACAAAGAAAGGTTTGAAGCAGAATGTAATATGGTGACATTTTAGAAAAATATCTCCTTGAGTGAAATAGAAACGGCAGAGCAGGATCAAGGTCACTAGCTGGGGGACTTTTCCAGGGCGCCCTGTGGCATCTGAGGAGAAGAGTGTGGTCTGAAGCCACCTCTGCCCTGAGCTGTCCCTGTCCTCCATCCTTGAATGGAAGGCTTCGCCCTATAGGAAGGGCAGCCTTTATCTTCCCACAAAGGTGTGCATGGCTTCCCAAGCCCCAAGTGGACAAAGAGTCGCATCTACCCAAATAAAAGCCCCCTATTAAATTCATAAATTCAGAGAGGGCACCTTGTTCTAATTCACACAAAGACAGCGGTCTGGTGTCGGGAACTTGCAATTATTTAAGTGAGAAATAATAAGATTCTAAACTGAAGCAGAGAGAGAAAGATATTTACAGTGGCTATTAACTCACCAAATGTTTTAAGGGCCTATTCTATGCCAACCTCTGAGCATACAAAGGGAGTCATAACTAAGCTCTGTCCTGGGACAAGTGACGAATTAAGATAGTTGGTGATGGAAACAAATGCATTTCAAATGTCAAAAGCCTGATTTGCCATCTGCCTTCCCAACCTGCTCTTGATCCTAATGTCTTCATTCTGGTTAATGTTTCAGCATTCCAGAATCTCAAAACCCCAGAATCAGCTTTGACTCTTCCTTGGCCCCAATCGGTCAAGCTTTGTAGGACTATCCCTGCAGCATGGCTCATACTTTCCTCCACTTTGCATTTCTTACTGCTTCTGACCCAAGTCGTTATTACTCCTCACTTGAACTCCCGAAGGAAACTTCCAGCTGTTCTCCCTATTTCCAATCTCTTTGCTCTCCAATCCATTCTGCTTTGGCAGGTTCTTTAAACCCAGTGATGACCAAATCCTATCAAGGGTCTACATCTCAAACAGGATGCAGCTGAAACTCATTGGCTTGATATTCGAGTCACTCCATAATGGGACCTCGGGTTTCATGTTTCCACTCCAAACTTATCTTCTTCTGTTTCCTGGTGATTTCTGATAGTCGCTGTGCCTCAAATATCCTTACCCTCCATCTCTGACAATCAAAGCCTACACACTACATACACATTTTCCATGAAGGGCTGGCTGTCTTGTGAGGCACTGAGCTTTCAGTGTTCCAGAAAAAACTAAACAAAACCCCTGAAGGGATCTTGTTCCAGGAATCCATCGAGTGGGGAGGGTTGTATGAACAGTAGTTCCCGAAGCCTAGTTAATCATCAGAATCACAAGGATAGCTTTTGAAAGATTCAGATTCCTGATCCCTTCATTCTAGAAATTCTGATTTGAGAAGTTTGGAGTAGTGCCTTGTGAATCTGTATTTCTAAAACTTTCGGTAAGATTTGTGATCTCCCCAGATGACCACTTAAGGTCTCTTTCATTACTACATTTCTATGATAAGGAGCTTCCCCTGGGCCTCCCAAAGGAATGCAGTTGTTTCCACCCCTGTATCAAGAGCATTTATCATAATCTCTCTTGTGTCATAACAACTTAAATCTATTTCAGGCTCCTCCATGATGTTGCATGATCCTAAAGTTAAGAGTCTTGTATAGCACTCACTCTCAGGGCCAAAATCATCTTTCTATAAAGATTTACCAAATTAAATTGAATTTGCTTGCAGTAGATCTGAAACACGCTATTTTCAGGACCAGAAAGAATGAGAGTCTAAACAAAACTGAAAATGGCACTATTAAATACAGAAGTTTCCTGATAGCTGGACTTTGGTCTTAGATGTGAAAGATTAGCAAACCTGAAATGTGTACTTTTCATTGAAACTGGATGTACACCATTATTTCAAATGCAAATGTGAATTCTTCTAGTGATATTTCATTTGGGTTTCAGACTCATTAGTCCCTCATCTTGTCAATCCCTTTT